TCTTGATGCGTTGTTAATAGGTGTGCACAAAAGTTGGATTAAGTGCAGATGAAACTCAGGCTCTCATTAGTAAGACTAAAGACCAGGAAATCAAGGATACTTTGAAGGAGACCACACAGAAGGCTCTTGATTTAGGGGTTAGTACGTTAACAAATCGGTGGGATTATGTGGTTACAAACAAGATAATTTCAATTGATTTTATCCAATGAGTTGTAATGTAAATTAGCAGCCGTGAAGGGTTACTGAAATTGACATTTGAAGCGTTAACCCTTGGTCAGTGAGAATAGCCCCAGAAACTCTTCACAGTGGCTAATTTACGTTATAAACTTAGTTAACAAAACAGAATTATCTTGTTTTGCAATCCACCGACGCAGTACCATGGTTTAATTTTCTTAGAAACCTAGCCCTGTTATTTGATTGTAGAGTTGTTAGTGGACTGAGTCCTTAGCATAGGCTTGAGTGTGGGATTGATACAGAATAGGTTAGCTGTGTTATCTTAGATTTGTTTGGAACAATTCTACTGAAATGTAGGCAAATCTATAGGACTGTCAATTTTGATTTCAGGCCTTTGGAGCTCCGCTGATTGTCGCCCATGTCAATGATGAGCCTCACACGTTTTTTGGCTCTGACAGATTTCTCCTGATTGCCCACTTGCTAGGTAAGTTCACAATATAACTATTGTAACTTGAATCTTTTGACTGGCTGGGCCGTCTTTTTTATATTTAAAGCTTGTTCATTTTTGTCTTTTTTTCCTCTAGGAGTGGAATGGGAAGGTCCATTGAGGTCTCAAAACTCGAAACTTTAACATTAGTCTCAAACTGTAACTGAACCAACCGGGAATGTTTTGCAACCTGGACTCACTGTTTGATCTTGAATACCAAAACGATCAAAGAAGTCCCGATGAAGTAAAACCGTTTTCAAGCTTCCAGGAAAATGAAAACAACCTTAAACTCTCTATAATGATAATGCAATGTACACTGTGGAATAAATGTTCTCGCACATGGTAGACTTTCTGAAGCTTCTGAACCGCCAATAGATCCAACAGCCAAATATGATTGAACAAACCTTTGAGATATTTTGTATGTCACCCATTTCTCACTTAAACCCTTTCCTTACTAATATCTCGATGAAAAGCCTCCTTACTCTCTGTAATACATTTCTTTCAAAGTTTGTTTTAAGAATTTGGTGTTGGATCAAATGATAATACCCTCGTTCTTATTTTTCTTTATTCTCATCACTTGTCTACTTGCTATTGTATTAATATTGTAAGGGGGAATTCTCGTTTGGTCACTTATTGGAGTAAAAAAGTTAAACAAGCATTACGGTTGTTGTAGAAGCCGTAAGTTCCAAATAAAACACTTTGAATTAAAAATAAACTGGTGAGAAAGATGTGTTTAATCACAATGTAGTGGATTGTTATATATTTTACATTAAGAACACACTTTTTTCTTGTTTTCTTATGTATTTCACGCAGTACGTATCTATGCAGCTTCTTTTTTTTTTTTGAATTGTTCTTCTTCTTCTTTTTTTTTTTTGACAAACGCCCTTTGAAACAGGACCAAGGTAGACGTGTAAAATCGGAGGCCAGCCGGGAAACATTTCTTCAAATTCATCATATTGGTTCTCGTGTTGAATCCTTTTTATATATATTTCTATTTCAGTTCAAAATGACTAAAATGAAACACGCATTATTCCACACAGGGAATCATGCGTGTTTCATTTTAGTCATTTTGAACTGTATTTCGCTTTAACCTCATGTGTATCGAGCACTTTCCAACAGCATTTGCTACAATTTCCATAATTATATTTCTATTTCAAAGTTCAGCGGGCGAGTTCCTCGCAGCTTCGAATTTCATGATTGGGCAAATGCCCGACGTACAAAGTATCTCGGAGATCGTATTTCAACTGGGCACGACTGTAGTGATTCAAATGAAGTCTTATTTACAGTTGGTGTGATTTTTCAGAAAGGGGCATATCTCTAAGGACCACAGAGAAGAGGTCCCATAAATCAAGGGGCTTAGGAAGAGGACGACGCACGCAGAGGTTAGTAATGATGATAGGAGGGTTTTATAACCAGCCGCGGTGATTTGTACCCAGTAGGGATAGGTGATATACTGTTTGGTTGTGAGCGAGTGTTGATTTGAGATGAAGAGCTCTGCTTCTTCCAATCTTCAGATGTCTCGGGAATGTCGGTTTTTCTTCGAGTTTCCTCGTCAATCGGTGGGGATCTGCTTTCCATGTCCTCGATACATATGGACTTTGTGCGTCTTCTTTCCGAGCCGACAGTATTGGGGGAATCCCCCTTAAAATTATTTGTGGATCGAACAAAACTCCCATTTTTTCGCTCAGTCGCGGGCCTCTCTTCAGGAATTTCAGTTTTTCTTCGTTCTTTAGTCACTTCTTTCTTCATCTTTTTCTTATTTTTAGTTTCGTCTTGTATTGCAGGCGTTCTTTGCGACGTCGTTGTTACAGCGGTGATATCTGAACTGAAATCTTGTGATTTACTATGTGACTCTTCATCTGATGAAGGCTCGGGATTTTCAGATTTTCTTTTCTTTCTCTCCTTTTCTTTTCTTTTCTTCTTTTTCTTTGTCTTGGTCTCGTTATTTTGTGATGCAACACACCTGTCACTCTGTTCTTCAGATGTACCTATCGCTACAGTCAATCCATCCTTTAAGTCCAGAATAGAATTTGCCTTTTGTTCCTTGGACGAATCATCCGAATCAACCACTTTTGTCTTCGTTTCCTTCTCAGCTTTCTCTTTCTTCTTCTTCTTTTTCTTCTTCTTTTCCGTAGCAGCAGTATTCTTATCCTCAGTGACTTGTTCAGCAACTGGTTCATCCATTGTGGTTCTAGCCACTTCCGGACGGCTTTCCCCAAATCTAGTGGGCTCTGCTGTAGATTTTCTCCGCTCGTTCAAAGGCGTAGTTGGCTTTACACGGATTTTTGTCACGCTTTCTTCAGAGTCCTCTTTCACCCCTGTAATCGCGGCAACGGAAACAGAGTTTTTCATTTTCGCCGTGGGAGTAGCTGATAGTCCACTCCCCTTCATTTTTTCCTTCCCAGAACTCTCCGCATCACTGATTCCAATTTCTTCCGCACAAGGCGAATGTCTAGAACCTCCTAAAGTTGACGCCATAGTGGCCTTTTTCCCTTTAGAGTAAGTGTCTTTCGGGGTAACAAGTCTCCTCTCAAAAGCTGGGGGAGGCTTTCCACTATTCTCGTTCAAGTTCTGCTCCGTCTTAGACTTGTTTGGACTCTTGACTTCCCGCGCGGAACCTTTTCGAATCCCTTCGTCTTCGCCAACGGGAATTATGGAAGACCTCTTGGAATTTTTCACACCGTTTGAAGGCGACAAAAAGTTTTTCACCTTCTTCTGCTTCTCTTGTTTTTTGTCCTTGGCAGGCAGGAAAACCGTGTCTTCACTGGCGTCCAAGCTTAAATCGGAGGAAGCAATGGAGCTCTTCCTTTGTTCATTAACATTACTTGCATTCACGGATAGCTTTGCATTTCTTTCAGCAGGTGTAGGTGATTTTGAATTTCCTCCCGGCTTCCTATGAAAAACTGGAGAACTACTTTCAGTTGCTTCTTCGTTCTCGATAAAAGCTGGGTTTGTAATACCTGGCGAATAAGGCGGGCTAGAATGGGAAGGACGAATTACTCGTTCATCATCGCTATTCAAAATGTCGCTCAAGGTGTCATCGTCTAAATTCGAAATGCTTCCGCTATCAGTAATCCGCTTGTCCTCAATATCAGAGTCGTCATCGTCTAGAATGAGTCTTGGAGGAGTCCGCTGATTATGTAGCTCAGTAGGTTCGTAGGCCGGCACAAGGGACCTCACGGGGTAGCCTGGGGGCCACTGCTTTTTACCCTCGACGTTGTTTCGAGGCAAGTTCAGCGAAGATGAAGCGCTCCCATTGGCTGAATGAATGAAAATATCGAAAGGCTTTAGGTGACGTAGATTGCATGGCAATATACAGCTGTTTTTAATTGGGTTTCGAAAGTAATCTTAGATTATCTGGGTAATTTGATATTATCAACTGAGTTGATTACGTCAATTGACCACCGTTAAGAGTTTCAAAGCTGACGTTGGCGAACGAATAGCGAACGCACGAAATGTCAGCTTTGAAACTCTTTAGGGTGGCCCATTTTCGCTATCAACTCAGTTGATAATGACCAAATTACCCTGTCATCCTCTCCCGTCACGCAGCACCACAGTTTCTTTGGAAACTTACCCCCTTTCATCTGAGATTACATTGGTTTTGCTTCACAACGCTCTGTGAAAAACCTTGAACCTACGCACGAGCGGAATCATTCGATAAAGAAACAGGTTGGTGCGCAAATCTCGTGATCTTGTCGGGGAAAATGCATTAACCGTGAACATCGTAAGATGGGTTTTAGCAGGTGTGGCTTAGTGAAAAGATAGCAACATGTTACCGGTCTTAGTTTTCAACCAGGAAAGAGTGCAGTGTCGTGCGATAACTGTGCCTGCTTCGTGTCCAATAAATACTACAATGAAAGTTCACTAGGTATGTACGTTGCAAAAAGACTTGAATCCGAACCTTAGTCTGACTTACATTCAAACTCTTTTTAGACTCTATAGATTTATATTTTCACGTACGTCCACAATGCCAGGAACGACTAATGTTAAGAAAACTTGCCAGTGTGAACAGAGTTTTTTTATTTTTACATACCTGAGACACGCTCATTTTCTTCCATGGCTTCCTTAATTTTCATTTGCTTCAGTTGCTGGTCTGTTTTGTGATTCAAACGGTTGCTGTTGATCGGTGTAAATTTCTTTTTAGACAAAAGCCAGGATTGTTTGATAAGCTGCCATAAAACACACAAAGTAACGAGTCCCAAGATGGAAGCGCCTGCATAAATCATCGGCTTCAAGTCCATATCAATGGGCGGGATCCCCTCTGTCGGAGGGAGGGGTGGAGGTGAAGGCGTGGGCGCTTCGTGCAGATCATATGAGTCACCATACATGGCGGACAACATAAAGGATGAATAAATGGTAGTTCCATCCCATAACGGAAAAACGAGAGAACTGTTAACTTGTAACTGTCTTAGTAAGTCAAGGGATAGTTCAAGCGCAGTATCGTTTCTTCCGTAGATTGTGATATTGGCAGCTAAACTGTCGCAGTCCTCCTCGATCATATAGTAGCGGTCTGTGTTGTGATAGTTAAATTGCTTCTCATTTTTTTTCTTGTTACTTCCTTTCATCCGACCTCCCACTGCCAGGCGCTTCGCGCGATGATGTGCCCTGATGCTTGTCACGTCCACCCCGCAGTATGGCCGCTGACCAGTGGCACAGCTCGTGTTGGTCACTGTGATCTGACTCGGTGGAATGCTTGTGAGGCTTGTAATTCCTTTTCCCAATGAGTTTGTCAAGTTTTCTTGAAAATTTTTAATCTGATTACAGTCTAGCACAAATACCAGCAGCAACGTGAAGTTCCAAGTTGGTTGTGCTATAACTGGTGGGGCTGCAAAACGACAAAAAAAAGAGAATGAATTTTGGCTTCCAGGCTCAAAGCAAAGTGGTCGGTAAACGAAATGGACACTATCTTGAGTGCTAAAAGGAATGTATTCATTCTCTGCTGTTTGAAGTTTGCTGACCGTGTAAAAAACGGAAAAAAGAAAACGAAAAACAATTTCATTCTTGTATTTTTAAGGAAAGAGTCTTAAAGAATCGATTCTGCTGAGCTTTGAAAAAAAAATATTCCAGTCACTATTTTGCATTAAATTTGGAAAAACTCAAGGTTGGTGCCTAGTTTTTACTGCTCTCTCGAATCCAGTCTTTGCATCTTTCCGAGAAGAGACTTTCAGTTAACTTACAATATCTATTGTTTACAGCTTTTGTCATGTTCTGTGAATTGCCTGAGAAGAGACTTTCAGTTGAGGAGCGTGGCTCACCTTCTGCGAGACAGCAGCTCGCTAATCTACTTACAAGATCTGTTGTTTACAGCTTTTAGCATGTTCTGTGAATTGCCTGAGAAGAGACTTTCAGTTGAGATGCGTGGCTCACTTTCCGCGCGACAGCAGCTCGCTAATTAACTTACAAGATCTATTGTTTACAACTTTTGTGATGTTCTGTGAACTGTCAGGCTGAAAGTCTTTTTAGATTTGGTGATGAAACTACAAGTTCCGTCCCTTTGTGTGTTGGCCCCACTGAATGGAAACATTTGTATTTTATTCGAACTCGGATTTTACTGCTGCTCAAACATTCTCTTTGGATTTTTTTAATGTTTGTTTATTCTGTATTCTTTTTTTTCGGCAAATACTTCAAGAACGCCGAGATAACCAAATACAGACTTGTACTCGATTTCGTCCTAAGTCAGCCAAATTTAGCCAAACAGGTTTCTTCATTTTTAAAACAACGCCTACTTTGTAGGAAA